GAAAGCCTCTGACAAGTCATCTTAGAATAACTCCTGTCCCAGCCAGCGCTGTCACAGGCAGCTTAATTATGGTAATTAAAGCCCACATTAAAACATGATTATAACATAAAATTGGAATTAGCCGTATAACACATCCAAATTTTTTGGTATGATTACTGATTTTCCTCCCCTGTTCATCAGAGGGCTACAGTAAATTCAGATACATCTGGTATAATTAAAGCTGAGCCTGTAAATACTAGTGAAAATTCTAATTAGCACCTGTCTTTTGTTAAGGACAGCAAGGTGGGGATGTCTATTTTTACGGGGAACATAATCAGGGCATTCCTGTTTCTTTTCTGGCTCTCAGGTGGGGCAGGACACTCTGTCCTCATTCCTTTTTAAGAGCTGCTTTGAAAAAGAGATACAAGTCATGAGGACATCTAAGAAATGCCGAAACAAGAGGCGGTGAGTTTAAAGAAAAACAATTAGTCAAATTTGGTAATTGGAGGTGTGTAAGCAAAACAACCAGTTGAATTGAATTGTTCTCTTTTCTGTCTGGTGGAGTGGCTTTGAAATTAGGCAAACTTGAGTGCACTTAGCTCTGCAATTTGCTAGCTGAGTGACCTTGAGCAAGTTTTGTTTTGTCTCTCTGGGCCTCAGTTTCCTCGTCTGTGAAATGGGGATAATGGTAGAGCCTATCTCATAGGGTGATTGAGAGGACTCATGAGACTACAAATTTTTCAATATAAAGTAATACTTTAATAATTAGGAGTTGCTAGCGTCTTCATCACCACCACCACCACTATCTTTATCACCATTAACATCATCATTATTATTTTAATCCAGTGAGGAGAAGGCTCTTGCAATGCCTTCCATGGCTCTGGTGAGCTTCGTGGTATCATGGAAACACCATACTTTGGATTCAGGTAGCCCTCCAACCTGTGCCACTCGTAAGGTGTGCAACCTCAGACAAGTCATTATATTCTTTTCGGTTTATTATTTCATTTGTAAAATGAGCACAATTTTCAAGGGGATGTTGGGGACATGATGAGGGGGCTGGGGCATGCCTAGCATGGAACTAGCCATTGGAGCAATGTTGATTCTTCATTTCTAGCATTCAGCCCTGTCCTCTCAACAGACTGCTTTGGTGGCGGTACATCTCAGGCATGTATAAAATATAAAATAAGAAACCTCTAGGTGTCTAACCACCAGCCTTCACCCAAAGGCTTTTCTGTGCCTCCTCCTACAAGGCCATGTCCCACTGTCATGCGTTAGTTGCTGCAAAGTGTTTCTGTCATCTGTCTGTGTGAAAGAAACAGTAGCATTCATCAAATAGCTCATGTGCTCCCTTGCATTTCCCAGCCTCCCTTGCAATTAGAATGAAGCCATGCAACTCCTTCTAACGAATTGACTATGAACAGAAATACATCGCTTCTATTTGCCAGGAAACCACATGTAGAAATAGTAAAACTACAGGATGGAAATGACCTAAATCATCAAGCCACTGCAGGGAAGACAGCTGTCCTGGAAATTAGCTGAATTCCCACATGACTTTTGTGAATGAAAAATAAATGGTCATTGCAGTAAGCCACTGAAGTTTTACAGTTTCTTTGTTACAGCAGCATAACCTAACCTATATTGATTAATACAGTGATTGGTCTCTGCAATCAAGTCTACGTTTTTCTTTCTGCCTCTTGCTCTGAATGCACTAATGGCTTGTTGGCTACTAGCCATTCTTAGACTGATGGGTCTTCTTCCAAAATAGATTTTGGGTAGACTGGAGGGAAACTAAGACTTCTGAGTCCAGAGATTTCCCATGATGCTCATGCCCCTTTATGCAGATTGCCATTTGTCCCTCACTGTTTAGGTGGCTCAGGTGGTGGAGGGGAGAAATCTGGAAAACCCAAAACATCAGAGTACTTGCATGGTTCATTTGCAGCCACATATTGGGGTGCCCGATGGAATTGATATGTCAAATACCATGGGCATCTGTTGTTTTCCCCTGACCAGAATCTATACCCAGCTTTATTTTGGTACCAGCACCTTAGTTTTGTTTTGGGAACCACTCATTGGATGCAAGCTTTGTGGGCTTGTCAGCCAAAGGCTCCACCCTTCTCTGCCCAAGAAATGGGCATGTGACCAACCTGGGTAGTGATTCACACCAAGTGTAGCCTCTTTAAGGAACTGGGAGGGTCTCTGCTTCCTAGATCCTTAAAACTACTGTGAGCTGTCCTCATGCCTGCTTTTCCAAGTCTTCTTTGGTCTGTGAAATATTCCTATCCTTCCAACAACACACACACACACACACACACACACACACACACACACACACACACAGTTTTCCAGTTGAATTTAGCCAGTGTCAGCTCCTCTTGATCAAAGAGTCCTAAGTAATACATGGTAATGAATTCCATCCAATATCGACAAAGCCCCTATCATTTGCTGGGTGCCATGCTAGACTCTATTGCCCTATTATTCTAAGTTTGCAACGAATTTTAGAATTGATGGACTAAAAAAACACAACTCAGAAGTTAAGTAAAATGTGGCGTCATTTATTCATTCAACAGATGCATTGGGAGTGTCAATTATGGGCAAATTCTAGGCGCTGGGGATACAGGAGTGAACAAAACAGGCTCAAATCTCCACCTTCGTGAGATTGACACTCTATACAGTTGGAGGAGGCAGATATAAATAACACAAATAATAAAACTATAGAGTAGTCAGGTGCCCAGAAAAGTGATGGGGAGAAATACAGCAGGATAGGAGGATGCAGAGCCTATGGTATGAAGAGGGAAGGATAAAGAGAAGCTGTAATTTTAAACCTATTGGTCAGCGGCGGCCTCACTGAGATTTAAGCAAAAGCTGGAAAACAGAGTTATGTGTTCTCTTGTTCTTGTTTCAAATTCTATTTTGCAGGTGACTTGGTTTATAATGATGTTGTGGGGACAGGACCTGACACATCAAAAGTACACAATAAACATCAGCTGGAAACCAAGTGCCAAGGAGCCACTAGAATGCCAAGTCAGCCTGGGGTGGGTGTGTGTGGGGGGTGCCAGCACTCACCCTCCAACACTGAATTGTCACCTTGAGGCTGCTACATCCCTGAGACCTCAGGCAAAGCCCTCTCTCCTTCAGGCCCTGGAAACTGCTAAGACTATGACCTCACGAGATGGTTAGTAGTCGCCAGACCCCCACTTCCTGGGCTACTTTAATTAGGGAACTTAGGCAGCCTCAGCTACTGGCTGGTTCTTCTACAAGAGGGAAAGAGGAGAGGGAGAGAGGGGCAGGAAGGGAGGGGTGAGAGAGAGAGACAGAGAAAGAGGGAGAGAGAGAAAGAGAGAGAGAGAGAGAGGAAAGAGAAGAACAGAAAACAAGACACAGAGCAGGAGGGAAATTAACACCTCAGCTAGAGCGAGGCAGATGGAATTCCTCTGCATTGGGTTTTCTCCCAGGTGGACAGGGAACTTCTTACACCTCCAGGGTTGCTCCACCCCACCTACATTCAAGAAATGCTCAAGGGCATAGGCTCTAGACCAGCGGGTCGCAACCCCTTTGGGGTCGAACGACCCTTTCATGGGGGTCGCTTAAGACCATCGGAAAACAAAAAGATATTTACATTACGATTCATAACAGTAGCAAAATTACAGTTATAGAGTAGCAACGAAAAGAATTTTATGGTTGGGGGTCACCACAACATGAGGCACTGTATTAAGGGGTCGCGGCATTAGGAAGGTTGAGAACCGCTGCTCTAGACAGAAGTGGACCTGGGCTCCAGTCCTATCTCTGCCGTTGCCTGGACATGGGCAATCTCACCACTCCCTGAGTCTCAGTTTCATGATGCCAGCTTCATAAAGTGAGAGTTATGATGCGATGCACAGCAAGCACCTAGCTACATGCTGAGCTCGTGGTGCAGGGATCTTGGCTCAGTCCTGGTTATGGGTCCTTGGACTCAGCCCCCAGGAGCCCCTGGTCTCTCACATTCACATGGAGCCGTGGTTAGAGTCCTAAATGGAGACCTTGAGCCCAGTGGCTCTCCACCCTCGGCTGCACAGAGGGGTCACTGGGGAAACTTCAAAGAATACAGATGCCCGGGCTCACTTCCAGAGAGAGCATCTGATGTAATGAACTTGGGGTGCAGCCTAGGTATCAAAATTTCTAGAAGCTATTAGTAATTCTACGGTGCAGCCAAGGTTGAGAAGCACTGCTTTGGCCCAGGGCTTTGATTTAACCCCCCTCCCTACCCTCCCCTCCCCACACACACACATACATTTATTCCCAAAGAATGAGATACACTCAGATTTGTGCCCTTAGGCAGCCTCCCAGACCATCTGATATTTTTTCTAATTTGGTTCGACAAGCATTTATTGAGCATTCGCTGTGTTCCCGGCACACTTGTTAGACACTGAATAAAGCTTGGGTGACCATAGCATGGATAAATGCTATGCTTGAGGGGCCCATGGGAGCAGGGAGGAAAGGAATCACACCCAGATTGGGGGATGGCTGGGAAGGAAGGGGGCTGCAGGGTGACACCCAAACTTCAAGTTGAAAAAACGAGTAGCAGGTGGCCTGGCAGAGACAGGGAAGGAAGAAGGGTAGCCCAGGTGGACAGAACAGCACGAGCAAACGTTCGGAGGTGTGAGACATCAAAGGTGGGCGGGGCTATGTGGCAAGAGGACAAGGAACAGGAGAGGAAGTCAGGTCGTAAAGACCTTACAGTCATGCCGAGACCCCCTGGCCTTCCAATGCCAGGCTCTGCGGAGCCATAGGAGGCTATAGGTTAAGAGGCAGCCTTTACCCTGTTCATAAGAATTCAGGGTGAGGCGGCTGCTGTTGAGCGCTGGGGAGGGGTGGGGCATCCAGAAAAGGAAAAGCCTTTGGCAATTTTCCCTCAAGCAATTTTATTTCATTCCCTTCCATCATCTAGAAACCTGAAGTTAACGGGAGAACATCACTGCCATGGTAACAGTAAGAGAAACAAACAATGCACGCGTTGTATAAAATTGTCCATAAAGGCTGTTTATTTTCCATACCATTATTTTAATAGGTGGGGCTGGCAGTGATGGGATGGAGAACAGCAGGCTTTAATGGTGCCACTAACGTCGCCTGTTCTCGGAACGACTTGAAATGCTCGCAGACATTCAGACATTGGCACTTAGATCATGTCTCCGGCTGGGAACTCCCGCTGGTTTGAAATCTCACTGCTAGGAATCCATCACCTGTGCCCGATTCAAAAGGCAGTGTGGTCCAGTGGGTATACACTTGAGCTGGAGGTCAGACAGCTCTGGATACGAGTCCCAGCTCTGTCACACCTCCTCGTTGGTGACTGTTGGCAAATGTCATCACTCCTCTGTTTAACACATCTGTAAAGTGGGGATTCATTCATTCATTCATTCATTCAATATTAAACAAGACTTCATCAAAAACCTCCTTGTGCTAAAAAAGATCCTTGCATTCATGAAGCTTAGAATCTAGTGGGAAAACACAGATAATATTGCACACCTGCAAACACATAAGTAAATTTTTAAAAAAGATAATTTTAGATAGTGATACTTGCTAGGGAGGATTTAAAACTAAAGACTTCTCTCTGAGAGGGGCCCTTCTAGCTGACCATGGAAGGATGACCAACAGCCGGCTGTGCATCTATCAGAAGGAAAGGTCCCCCAGGCAGGCGGACAATAAGAGCAAAGGCTTGAGAGGCAGACCTGCGCTGGGAATGCTTGTAGCTAGAGCTTCATAAAAGGAAGCACAACAGGGACGGCCAGGTGGCTCAGTTGGTTAGAGCGCGTGTTCTGAACAACAAGGTTGCCAGTTCGATTCCCACATGGGCCAGTGAGCTCTGCCCTCTGCAACTAGATTGAAGATGATTTGAGCTGAGCTGCCACAGAGCTGCCGGATGGCTCAGTTGGTGAGAGCACGTTCTCTTAACAACAAGGTTAAGATTCCTGCTGGTTCGATTCCTGCATGGGATAGTGGGTTGCACCCCCTGCAACTAGATTGAAAATGGCGACTGGACTTGGAGCTGAGGGGTCCTGGAAAAAACACACTGTTACCCAATTTAAAAATTAAAAAAAAAAAAGTTGCAATGCTAACAATTAAAAAAAAAAAAAGGAAGCACATCATAAGATCAGAGAGGAGGGAAGGGCCAGATCCGGGAGGCCCTATAGGTTGGGGTAAGAGTGTGGGTTATAACAATACAACCTCCAAGGGCGGTTGTGAGGATTACATGAGAAATCACATGGTAAACTCTGAAGCAGCTGCTGTAAAATATCAGCTTTTCTTCTCACCAGGGTAGCTGTAGACCCATCATCTCTTGGGTGTGGAAGCTGACGCTATGGAATGATGGGATTTCAGAAGCAGGGAGGGCTTTCAGAGATCTAATTATGTTATGGGTTTTCTAATTATATTCCTCTTTCATATAGGTGAATTAAAAATCAGAGAGGGCAAGGGACACTACACAGGAGTGGGGAAGCCTCCAGGCTCTCCGACTTCCACCCACTGTCCCTTGGGCTCCGGAACCCAAGCCCACCGGGGACCGCTAAGGGGAAAATCTTTGGCCTTCGTTCCGGCTGATACCGGGCGGGCCTTCCTCCTGGGAAACAGCGTGTGTGTGGGGTAATGGAAAAACACAGACCCCCTGAGCCTCAGAGGGACCTCAGACATTCACCCTCTTCTCCTCGTCCTCCTCGTCCTCCCCTGTCCTCCTGGGAGCAATGGCTGAGCTCTGGCTGGGGAGCTGGGAGGCAGGGCAGGATATCGGTCAACAGGGACCTGACGTGGCCTGGCCTTTTCAGTATTCTGTATTGAAGAGACTGATGCGGTTGGAGAGGAAGGAGAAAGGTAGAGGATGTTTCTGCAATTGAACAGGACAACGCTGCCTCGGTTAATTTCAAGTGAGGTGAGTCATATGAAAAGTGGGTTAGATTGGCCAAATCCCTGATGGGCTTGGGAGTTTTACTGATTCTGTACCCTTAACCCCAGCTAGACTTTCTTCTGGGTCTAGATATCCATAAATACACTTAGAAAACCCTCCTGGAGAAGAGCGTCTTATGGCCTGTGGGCTGAGTCTTCCCCTTACAGCCTGTAGAATACAGGAAAATCACTCCCTTTTACTGAGCACCTACTACAGGACAGGCATTTCGTTCAGCACTAACCACGCATCTCCTCTCTTACCACGACAAGAACCCGAGAAAGGAGTTACTAATATCCCTCGCTTCTCACAGACAAGGAAACCGAGGTTTAAAGGTGGCGCATGTAGGAGGGAGCTATGACTCATTCTCAGGCATGACTGACTCCCAGTAAACCTACTGGTTCCAAAGGACTCATGAATGAGGTCACCAAACACGAAAGTCAGCATAGCCCATAGCTGTGTGCTCCTTTGCAGACACAAGCTGTTTTCTGTGGTCTGAAAAACGTGGGTGTCACCATATATAATGCCAACAGAAAATATAAATATACACAGTATCTTTCATTGATTTTTTTTTTTGGTCACCTTTGAGGCCCCAAAACATAGACCCAGGAAAATCTCCCACCTGGGTTTGCGGGGACTTGGCGGTGAGGTCCCATCAGATGCTATGGGTTTGTGCCTCCCTTTCAGCCTCCTTCATGTTTCTGACAGGGCTTTGGCTCTCCCTCTCCTCTGGCCAGACAAGCCTCTGCAGAATGCAAATCCATCAGGCAGGCTCACTTTGTATTCGGTAAACTTTCAATTTGAAAATAAAGGCATTGTCTCCCTGTCAATCTCTGCTGTGCGCGGCCATTTCTCAAGAGCCAGAGCAGGTGGGATAGAGAGAGGGAGCATTTCCAAGGAAACCAAAGAGGCATAATTGCTTCTTGCCAGGTAAAGTGAACACACTGGATGGGGGTGGCTGTGTCACAGCTGATCAGTCCCCCGCTAGCCTTTGGCCAGAGTGATGGGATGGCCTCGGGCTTCCTGCATGGGGCCACACAGGCTCATCTTCAACTTATGAAGACCAGGTTGAAACGCATGAGGAGACGCTGGTTGAGTGTTCTGTCTGCTCTTCCAAGACCCAGGGTGGATTTCTTGTGGGCTATTCTATTGCTGGGACATTTTTTTTTAACTCTCTCCCCTCTGTCAAGGCGTCTCCTTTTTATTTCATTTTTATTCCATGACAAAAGACTTTTTTCCTCTCTCTTCCCCTCCCCCCCGCAGTGGCAAAGACCTTCCCGACACCAGATGTTCCTGGGGGAGAAATGTGATGCTGGCTCTGGGTGGGGCAGGAGTGGGAATAAGAATCGAAAAGTCTCACATTGTATGTTGATGGAGAGAGTAATTACTGAGAACAGACTTCCTGGCGAACGCATAAGCAAGCCTCGGTTAATTATGATCTGTGTGAACAGAAATGATGTCACAGAAACATGATGACAGTGGCTACCATTTATTGCAACAACCCTGTTTCAGCCCCAGAGCCTTGCATGCACTATGTCTGCTTCCTAGCACATGCTCTTCCCAGTTTTTCACCTGGTTACCTCTTTCTCACCATTTACTTCCCTGCTTAAATGCCTTCCAGTGTGGGAGGCCATCCCCGATCACTCGACAAAACACTTACCTCCTTTATACTAAAAAAAAAAAAACCATCCTGTTTTATTTTCCTCATAGAACCTGGAGCTCTCTGAAATTCTTATTTAGTAAAAGATGTACTGTCTGTCTCTCACTTGTGCAAGGTAAGCTCCAAAGAGCAGGGATTCTGTCTGTCTTGTTCATTTGTGTATCCCCAGTGCCTAGAACAGCGCCTGGCATATTGTAGGTGCTCCAAGAATATTTGTTGAAAGGATGGATGGATGGTTGTTTGGATGGATGGAAGAACAGATGGATGGAGAGTTCATTATATGTTACAAGCACTATCCTAAGTGCTTTATAATTGTCTCATTTAATCTAAATGACAGCCTTTCATTGAAAGAGTTTCAGAGAGGTTAAGTCAGTTGTTCAAGGTCACACAGCTGTTAGTAGGAGAAAAAGCATTCCAATTCAGGTCTGTCAGGTTTTAAAGTCTGCTTTTAATCACTCTGCTATACTGCTTCCCCTGCCACAGAACATTAATCTTGGAAAAGATTTGGGCACTCCTGTAGTCAGAATTCACTAGACTGTCATCTCTAGAGGGCAAGAGATAGGTCTGCTGCATCCACAGCACCTAGCACAGAGTTTGGTACCTAGTAACCAATTGATAAATAGTAGGTACTCAAACAATATTTGTAGATAGATGGGATAGAGGGATGAGTGTGTGGGTGGGTGGGCGGATGGATGGATGGATGGGGAAACAGCCCTAGACAGCCTGGTGACAGCAGTCAGCAGAGGATGGATCAGAACTTGGGACTGCTATCCCAGTGTTTTCTCTCTCACCACACCAAACTTCTGAGAATGAAATTAAGTGTTTTCCTTATAGTCTGAACTGGGCTGAGTGTTTTAGTTCACCAGCTCATGGGGTTCTCTCGAGAGCCCTAGGAAATAAGTGCTATTATAACCCCACATGTCAAGGGGAAACCCTCCACTTGTGTCAATCACCCCACATAATAAGTGTTATTTTTGTCTCTGCCCCTCAGAAGAGGAAAATAAGGCTCAGAAAGGTTAAATAACTTACCCTTCTTACCCAACAGAGAAAGGTGAGATCAGGATCTAACACTTTGTCTCCACTGGACCGGTTTTAACTGCACAAGAGCTGATGGATCAAGTGGCAACATATAAAGTAGACAGCATTGTGGGCACACGTCATCTCCTCTGCAGGGAAGGTGGTATTTTCTCCCCAGGCAGCTGTGGGTAGTAGGGAGGCCACCCCGACACCAGGATCCAGGCCAGAAGTGCCCTGTGGTAATACAGAAAGTACAAGCCTGGACAAAAGGTACACCAAGTGCATGATATTGAGCAAGTCCCTTTGCCTCCCTGAACCTCAGTTTCCTCATCTGTAATATGGGTATCAAAGTTGTGATGGGGAAAGGTTTTTCATCTGCTGGCTGCTCTGGTCCCTTGCTGAATTCTATTCCTATCATGGGATTTCTTCTTGCAAAAAAAAAAAGTATTAGTATTCCCCCTAGCAAACCCCCTTACACTCATTCCCACCATCACGATTTCAGATTGCCAGGTCTGTGTCTCATTCTCTCAGGACTTTTCCCTGTGCTTTGTTTCAGCCGGTAAAAGGAATGAGTAAATCTTTGCCTGTGTAGTCAATGGGTTAATAATGGTCTGTAGTGTCATTTCTTCCATAGAAGATACCTGCAGACAAGCAATGATCTTCTCTAGAGGCTCAATGCCTTTACCTGAAGGAGTGATTATGGTGGTGGGCTTTCCGTCTTTGGGGCTTACCGGTTAACAAAGAGGTGTTGACCTGCCAAGGGCCATCGCTGAATCATAGAATAGGGGCAGTCATCAAATTTCTGGGAAGCAGTGTGTGGAGGTGGAATAGGTTCTAGCTCTGGACACAGACCTGGCATTAAATAGGCTTTGTCCCACCACTTCCTGGTCAAGGGACCTCAGCCAGGTTGTGACCTTCTCTAGGGCTCACATGGAGATGACCACACCTCACTGTCAGGATCGTTATGAAATTGAAACGAGCAACCATGAACTATGTGGCACACTGTAGATTATGGGTGGTGTTTATGAGCAGTAGTTCCCTGGCCTCCGAGTGTGGAGCTGGCCCATCTCTTTGTTTTTCTCTCACTCACTTCCTCCCTTTTCTTTTCTTCCACCGTCCTTGCTTATTTCCATTTCCATTCAACAAGTATGATTGTGCGCCTGCTGCATGCTAGCCCTGTGCAGCCCTGAGTGTTTGGTGATGAGAAAGGCAGCCAAGGCCGGCTCCATACAGATCTCCCAGCCTAACACAGCAAAGCACGGGGTGGCTTCATCTTCCCCAAAGGAGAACTCAGCTCTTATGCACCCCTTGCCTCAGCCCCACCCCCCTCTTTGTAAAAACCAGTTGGCTTTACTGCCAGGAATGAAAACTTCTTGCAGCCGAAGATTGGGTTTTCCTGGGGACTCTCTGTCCCCCAGACACTAATACAAGTCTGGACCTGTAGTGAGTACCCTGTAAAAGAGCACTGAATGAGTGAGTGAATGAGGAAACTTTGAGTGGGGGTGGGGGTCTTTTGATCCCCTGGGCCAGGGTGCTCCCTAGCCCCATCTGTCCTCCCCAACCCAGTATTCACCTCCCCCACCCATTCTTTACAGGGACTCCCAGCTCCATCACTCTGCTAAAGACATATTCCTTTCACTGCTGCCTGCAACCTTCTCTCCATCTGCTCTCTCTGCTTGCTCAGGCAAGGTGGAGGGGGGTAGGGAAAGGAAGGGCTTCTAACTGAGGGGACAAGCCTGGGAAGCTGGCTGGATTTGCAAAGGTAATCCACACAGTCAGTCTCCAAGCCTGTCCCCGTCTAGTCCTTGGCCAAATGGCTGTCTTGGGGCTGCTCCCCCTACCCCCATCTCCATTTGTGGAGAAAAGACAAGTTGCTAAGAATCAGGGCTGGGCACACACACAGCAGATGACATGGGCCTTGAACTCCAGCTCAGATGGGGGAAGGGGGTGTAGCAGGGATAAGGGGTTAAGCTGAGAGCAAGTCTTGGCTGGCTCTGGTGCCCTGTTGACAAAGGGGATGTGAAAGGTGGAGCTCAGATTAGAACATGGATCAATTTTAACTTACAGTCTCTGGTTGGGCTTCAGAGGGGTACCAGCCCTCAAGCAGTGGACGCAGAATTTTGTGGCCATTTGTATTGTTCCGGGGAGATTGACACCTCTTATCAGATCCATAGAATTTGAGACTTTCTAGGTTAGAGGGACTCAGTTTGGAAACACGGAAGGGCTGGTTGGTTGGGGCCCAAAGGTCCTGGGAGGATTGAAATAGAGCTGAGAGAACTGGACGTGGGATCCATCCGGAAGGCTGGGCAATGATAAGCTCTAGGCTGCTCACAGGCTGAGGGATGAGCTAGATGTGGAGGCCTCCATCGCACCGTCTAGAAAACGGTCAGGGCTGTCCCCGGCCTCGCCTCGCCAGCGCAGGGCTGCGGTGAGCATCCGCCAAGAGGCGTCGCTCGGCCCCCAGGACGCAGAGAGAATTGGCGTTAAACTTTGCAGGGCCGGCGGGCCGGCGGCCAGGGGAGGGAGGCGAGCGCCCGGGGCGCCGCTGCCCCTCTCGCTCGCGGCCCGCCCGCCCCCTCCCTCCCCCCCTGCACTCGCTCGGCACAGACTCGGCCCCGGCCCCTCCCTCCTCCCGCTCGCTCCACGCTCGCTCGCTCGCTCGCCGGCTCCTCCTCACTCGCCCGCCCGCGCCCAGCGCAGCTCGGCCAGAGAGACCGCGGGGCTGAGCGCGCGCCTGCCCGGGGGCTCCGGTGGCTGCCCGGGTCCGCAGCCCCCTCCCTCGACCCCGCCTTTCCCGCCTCGCTCCCTCCCTCCTTGCCCCGCTCCCGCGCAGTCCACCCGCCGGGCAGGCAGCCCGCGGCTCCGCGCCCCCAGCAGCCACGATGCCCGTGGCCCGGCCGCCCGCCGCGGGACCAGGCGCGATCTCGCTGCTCCTCGCTCTGCTCCTGGGGAGCCCCGCGGCCGCGCGGGCGGGAGGTAAGCGCCCGGAGGGGCGGGGCGGGGGAGGGGGCAAAGTTGCAGCGAGCGCGGGGCCGCGGGGGCCGGTGGCTGACCCGGGCCGCTCACGCGCCGCCCGCCGGCACGGGGAGCTGGGGGCGGCTGCCCCAAATTCGGGGCTAGCAACTGCGTCCCCTTGGCCCGGGCTGATGGGCGTGTGGAGGCGGGGATGTTTCTGAAGGACTCGGGCTCTTCCCTGCTCCGGCTGCGGGCTCTCTTGGTCTTCCCGGCCGTGGGGCTGACTCCCTTTTGCAGCCCCAGAGAATCTCCTTGGAGTGGGGTAGCCTCCAAACCCCAGATTCCCAGAGCTCTCTGCAACAGCGCTCGGGGCTGGGTGCCAGATGATTCTCACCCTTTCGGGAAGAGGAAGACAAGGGGGCAGCTGACCCGCCCTGCAACTGAAGACTAGACTCAAACCGCGCGTCAGGGTGGAGGTGGGGGTCACAGTGCCGCCCGCTCCCACTCGAGGACTCCGTGCCTCTTTGGGTTCAGGCTGCCTCGAGGGACCCGGTTTCAGAACACATCTCAACCAAGTGTCTGGAAGCCGAACTTGGGTGTGGCTTTCGCCTGGAGGCCCGCGGAGGGGGCTCGGGTTCTCAGAACTTGGCAGGGGTGGGGGAGAGGAGCTGTTAGGTCACGGGAGCCTGAGCGCACTCGCCATTTCTTTCTCCTGACAACCTAGAGTCTTTTAACACTATTATGAATGGGGGGGGGGGGCTACTTTCATCTACCACGTGCTTGCCAGTTGGGAAGGGGAATCCAAGTTTAGAGCAGAATGGCGGCTCCTCCTTCCCAGACCTGGAGCCCTCTTTTCCACCCCTCTGAGGTCCCCCTGGGGAGGGGGTTGATATGGAGAAAGGAGTACATCGCCCAACTCACCCAAAGCTAAACCCCAGGAGCTTCGAGGGTTTGGTCAGCCACTAAGAAACCCAAGAGTGGAGGGGAGCGCTGTTAGCCCACCCGGCTTGTCTTCTGAAAGGTCCAACTGCCTTTTCCAGAGACCCGCTCCTCGCGTGGGAAAAAGCAAGCAGTTGCAGGGACTTCCCAGGCTGAGGATAGTCGGAGAGTGCACACTCTGCCCATCTGGAAGTCGGTCTCTCGTTTGCACCGTCTTGACTCTGAGTTAGAGGACCGTGCCCTTTCTCCAGGGGAGTGCTGGACCCCTGGCACGCACACCTGCTTTCAGCACTGAAGGCCGCGGACAGCTCTCAGCTCCGTGGGCCCGAGCCCTGGGGTGCTTTCCCCTTCAACTCTTCCCCGTGGCCTGGAGTGCCCTCCACAGCATAAATCAGGCATTTAATCCCCCACCCCCTTCCACTGAAACGTGGAGCCTGGAATGCAGAGCGAAGGAAATAATTCATCACCTTTCCTTTAACAAAGAATGTCATTAAAGAATCCCCCACTTACGAGGCAATAATGTTCACAATTTACACAAGGTCTGGACAATTTCCCTGGGAAAGACGGGGGGAAGGGAATTGATTTAAATAAATCACTTCCACCACAGCATACCCCTTCTTAATTAGCTGTCTTCTACCAGCAATGGCTTGGTGGCCTTGAGCAGGGTCCAGATCTGCCTCCCTCACTCCCCTTTTCCATCTGTGTTGTAACAAACACACACAGAAAGAACGTAAAGCTAGCCAGTGGCTTGCTGGCTTTTCTAAAGTGATTCTGGCCTCTGATGACCATACTCTCCAATATACCACCCTCCGGGAAAAGTGTCTTCATGGCACATATTGAATTGTCACCCAAGACGAGGATTTCATATCCTGCTTCCTTCGCTGGCGTCAAACAAAATGTGTGTATGTTTCAATGTTTAAGACATTTGATATTATTTTTCCAACGGCTCCGCACTATGGCTAGCCAGGGTATATTTTTAATGAATTTCAGGTCACTGCCAAATTAAAGTCAACCAATGTATTACTTCAGAAGGCTCATTAATAACCGTGCTGTTCTGACTCTGAGACTCTGTGAGTCATCGGGAGGGAGTAAGGCTAGCCAATGAGCATTGCCAGTTCTGATGGTGTGTTTGGAATCAGTTGACCTTCCACGGTAAATTCTATTTTTAACATGGAGCCCAACTTCCACTAACTGTCAGATGGAGCACCGTTCCTCTAGCTGGATGTTGTAAGCTAACCCTTCTGTTTTGTAAATACTTGAAAGGGAACTTGTTGCTACATTCTTATGCAGGTCACGTGACTCTCTGGGCCATTTTGCTGTAAGGCATGAATAAGTATAAAGTGTAACTTGTTTTTGAAGAGGCTTCTTATTGTCTAAGATAGGCACATGGGGAATAATTGTAACTACGTGCTAAGACTGCAGAGGCTGAGTGTAATTTCTTTTCCTTTTCTCTTGAATTAATAAAGCAAATTCAATAGTGCTCAATATGATTCAAATTTGCTACTTCCTCTAGTCTCTAATGTGCGTTGTTTGTTAGATTCACTTACAGACCATTTTCATTTCGGATCAGCATGCTTTTCCATGGAGTTTTGGCTGCCCCTGCCAGGGGCCACCTAATCCAAGCTTGAAGGGTTCCTCTTGTGTTTACAGGGCTCAGTTAGACGTTAGGAAAATAACATCGTATTCCTTTTCTCTGCCTTCCAAGGCAAAAGGATGTTTCTTGATCAGAGTGGCTTGTTTTCTCGGCTTGCTCACACCTTCATTCCTGCTATTCAAAAAGCCATTCAAAAGGGCTCCGTTGACGGTTCCTCATATTTGGTCCACAATTTTTGCAACACGCCAGTGGTGCAGACCTCCACTAGAGGCGCTCAACGCTGCAGTTGGTGATGGGAGGCAGAAGAGGCGAGTTCTGACCTCTGGAACCACCAGGTGTGTGCAATACCAGAGGTCAGCAGAATTGATCTCTCATCAGCTTGGAGGTGGCCTCGCCATTTCCTCCACCTTTCTTTTTTCTGCTTACTACAATTGATGCCTATGTCTCAGAGAGAAAACATTGATGACCCTTGCTAGGTGCAGCGAAAAAGAGGAAGGACAGGTGGAAAGAGGACAGGAGTGTGCTCCAAGAAAGCCATCACAGGAGTACAGAGTCCAACTGCCCTTTTTATGGTTTCCTTCAGGGAGCCAAATTGCAAAACATCAAAGAGGCCATGGCAAGTCTTCTCTGAAGAGTTTGGTTACACTGAGCGCTGGTATTAGATTTATAGAGTTCTGGCAAAGAAATGTTGTGGTTTGGGGAACAGAATGACCTTGGTCCAGGTACAGCTTCATTGTTTATGAATGAGTGACTTTCAGCAGGACTATCTTCTCTGAACCATCTGTGGGAGAGGGTGGGGATGATTTGATGGTGGCAGCCTTGAAGGAAGATTGCATTGATTACAGAACACTTGTAAAGTGTTTAGCACATAGTAGGTGCTCAAGTAATGTGTACCCCCTTTTCTTCCCTGCTTTCCAAAGATCAAATTGCCCCTGTTCATAGGTGCCAAGAAAGCAAATCCCTGACATTGGTGTGAAGCAGATGTTGCCATAAATATCCAGATAATTTACGCCAAAGTAGAAGGAGTAGAGGTGGGGTAAGCGAGTAGCTCCAATTACCTATATGCTGCCTGTGGCAGATGAGAACTTCTCATCACCTGGTACAGACTCCCTTTCCAAATCCTCATGCTGTATTTCTTTGAGCCTCAATATTACCGTCAGGAAGCAGAGTTCATGGTACCAGACATGTAGTTGAAAAGAAGAGATTAATGGTTGGAAAGAAGAGATAAGAAGAGAGTCTTCTAGAAAAGTCATCTACTCATTCATTCATTAATTTTTTTTAAATATTTTTATTGGGGAATTGGGGGGATGGGAACAGTGCTGGGGAATTGGGGAAAGGGGAACAGACAAGTTGCTGTCGTTTTGTT